TGCTGCAAATCAGGAGGTAATTTTTTTTTTCATTGGTTGCAATAGACTTTGTGAGACCCCAGCCTGGAAGAAGATGGGATCAGGAGGTGGGCCCTTTGGAGGTGATTAGGTCAGGAGAGTGGAGTCCCCAGGAAGGGAAGGCCAGGGGGTTGCCCCTTCCATGTGAGGACACAATGGGAAGTCATCCTTCTGCCTCTGGAACAGAGCCTCACTGACCAGGAGAAATACATTTGTTGTATATAAGCCATACAGACTATAGCATTAAAAAAAAAAAAAAAAAAAAAAGATTTCTTGGAGACAGGGTCTTGGTCTTACCCAGGCTGGGGTGCAGTGGAGTGATCATAGCAGCAGCCTTGAACTCTTGACCTCAAGTGAGCCTCCCTCCTAAGCCTCTCAAAGTGCTGAGATTACAGACATGCACCTCCATACCCAGCCAGATTATGGCACTTTATTAAAGCAAGCTGAACCGACTGACTGATTTGCTACAACCTCATTATACAATCAAGTATTTAAGGGCACATGCTGGGGAGCCTTAGACACTGTCTCCCCTTGGTGACTTTTTCCCTACACTTGAGCCGCTTGTCATCTGACTCCTGTACCTGTCTTCCGGCCACCAAAGCTCCTCCTGTTCATATCACCAAATACCTAAGTACACGTCCAAGAAGTGTTTTTAGGCTTGACCTTAACCCTTGAATGCTGAAGGTGGTGTGTGCATCTTCCAACTTGGGACAGGCTCACATTCTGGGGTGAAACAGATGTGAGGTTCCCCGGCTGCTCCTCAGACCCCTCTCCAGATGTTTCATCTTTTGCTTTTAGTCTTGGTGTCCTCCAAGTCCTCGGTCTTCCTTCTTGTCTCCACCCTTCTCCCACCCCAGTGACTTCAACTGCCCTGCTCTGTAGGAGTCTGGTGAGGGTCAGCTTTCTGGTTCCAGAGCCAGATTCTGTGCAAAACCCCAGCAGAATCCTCCACTCTGTCCAGGGAGCTATGGTGCTTCCCTGATGTCCAAAAGAGCCAGAGCAGAGGCGTGGAAACCTGCCTGTGTGGCCTCCTCTCCAGCAAGCTGGAGAGTGCAAGTGCCTCCTAGGAAGTTGAGAAAGTAGCTTACCTGGAGCCAGGGCCTTTGAGAAGGTAAATTCCTTTCCCCTAAAAGCCCCCAGGGGGTTGAAACATCCCCAGCTTTTTCTGGCCTGGCCTACTCAGTAGTCACTATCAGTGGGGGACTCCAACTTGTCTGTCTTCTTCAATCCTCTCACATAATCTCACCTGAATTTTTCAAACCAGTTTAATTCACAGGTCCACCGAGGGGTCTCTAGTTTCTTCCCTAGTTCCTTTCCAGTATATACCTGGGCTAAGGCTCATACACCCCAACACCCCTTGGAAAGACTATGAATGAATGGACAGCCAGGGACATCTCAAACTCCAGCCATAGCCACGTCAAGGCCTCTCTGATTTTAGTTACTGTGATGCCAGGGAAAGGCACAGGGGTGTCAGGGCCATGGCATGTTGGAGAACAGCAAGGCTGGGTTTTGCTGGGGTGCACAGTAAGGGGTGGAATTGTGCTGGGAGCCAGTGCTTGGTGGACAAGCCAAGCCCACACCCTGAAAGGCCTCGCTCTTGAAGAGGTGTCCAAGCCTCCGCCACTCCCTAGTGAACTTCGAGTCAGGAGCGGCTCTAAGATCATTATGGGGTGCTGCCTCGTTACCTGCCTCAGAGCATTCTTAATTGTACCAATTCATACATTGGCAGCTATGTGACTCTGTACCCTCCTCTGTAAGCCTCAACTTCCTAATTTGCAAATTTAAAGAGGAAAGAAAGCAGCCCTCAGGGTTGTGTAAAGCTGAGGTGAGGTAAGGCAGGTAAAGCGCTTGACATGATGCCTGGCTCAGCATCCTTGGGAACACCCTCTGCCAACTGCCCACACTCAAAGGACAGGCTCTCCCATCTGAAAGGAGACAAGGGTGGAGGGTGGGGCACTGAGGTTCTCACCAACCAAAGGCCTAGCTCTGGTTCTATCTGAAGGAAACCAGATGTGCCAAAGAGTTGTGAACAAAATCTGAAAGTTCAACCTCATGGAGTTTCCAGCAAAGAGCAGGCCAGAGAAGAGGCAGTGAGCTCATCTAGGATATTTGGACCCAGATCTAGAAATAATATACTTGTCTCCCGATATCCATATCCCCCCACCTTTGTCCATCTGCCTTTCACCTGAATTTACCCGCTCTGCACTTTGCTATCTATCCCCCCACCCCTTTTAAAAGATGGGGTCTCTGTCACCCAGGCTGGAGTGTGGTGGCATGATCACTGTCGCTGTGACCTCCTGGACTTAAGCAATCCTCCCACCTAGGCCTCCTGAGAAGCTCGGACTATAGGGGCATGCCCCCTGCCTAGCTTTATCTTGTAGAGAGGGCACCTCACTGCACTATCCATGCTGCTTGCTGCCTTAATGTGCATTTACAGTCTGCCTTTTGTGGCCACAGAACTACAGAAACACACGCTGCAGAACAGCACCAATCACCTCCTTCTTGCAAACCCACAGCCCACTTCCTGTGCCCACCTGATCCCTTGAGACCAGCACTGGTCCTCCCCAACCCTGCCCTTTATGTTGCCACTACTCCCCCAATCCCTAGAAAACCCCTTTCCCTGAAAGACAAGGGAACATTCACATATCTCCTGCTGTGACACCCACACCAGTGGGAAACTGCCCATCTGGACCAGAAAATGATTAATAAATACAAAATTTGATTTCTAAGATCTTTTCTGTCACTTTTTAAGTGACAAATGCAGGCCACAAATGTGTATATCCGACTGCACAGGAAAAGAAAATATTAAAATTATATGTGTGTATTCTATAAAAAGTGAAAGGCCAGGCACAGTGACTAATGCCTGTAATCCTAGCACTTTGGGAAGCCAAGGCAGGTGGTGAGGTCAGAAGTTCGAGTCCAGCCTGGCCTACATGGTGAAACTCCCTCTACTAAAAAAAAAAATATATAAATTAGCCGGATGTGATGTGGGCACCTGTAATGTCAGCTACTTGAAAAGCTGACAGGAGAATCTCTTAAATTCAGAAGGTAGAGGTTGCAGTGAGCTGAGATAGTGCCATTGCACTCCAGACTGGGCAACAGAGTGAGACTCCATTTAAAAAAAAAAAAAATGATGGGCCCTTTTTTTCCCTAATTTCAAATTTCTTAAGTGGTCATGATGACTTTTATAAGTTAAATAGGTTAATGCTAACACCTAGAAGTGTCTGTCACCAGTGCCCTGAGGTGGATGGGAATCACACACTTGGAAAATGGGCATGTTGTTTACTCTACAGCCACGTGACTGTGGACCTCCAGACCCTGAGGGGAATCCGAGGCTGGCACGTTTGAGGCAGCTGGAAGGGACATGTGTGTACCCATTGCTTTACCTCAATGGGGAATCTGTCCCTTGAGAAAGACCTGCCAAACTTGAACTGTGACCTAAGTCACAGTCAAACGAAACCTACATTTTCACATAAATCTTTACTGAATTACAAAAATTAGTGACTGGTGTGAAAAAGACACTTCTTTTGTTGCAAATAATAGGTTGAGGAATGGAAAAAGAATTGGCATGAATTTTAACAAAGTAAACATTTTACAAATGATTTCCAAATATTTATAAAAGTTCACAACTGTTTGATTTTCAAAGGCCTAGTTAATATGAAAAGATGTCATTAAGTAAAACTAAAAAGAGAACAGTGTTTGTCTCCCTGAGATTCCTACTCAGGATATGACCCAGACAACCAGGCACATTGCTCTTAACTGTACACCATCTACTCAGGAGGCTGAAGCACGAGGATTGCTTGAACCCTTGCAGAATTAATAAAGTTCTGATTCAGGAGTTTGAGGCTACAGTGAGCCATGATCTCGCCATTGAACTCCAGCCTGGGCGACAGAGTGAAACCATCGCTTAAAACCTAAGGAAATCCACTTAAGAAAGCAAAATGTAATTGTAAGGTGGTACCTCCCTTGCAATTCCAAGGGCCTCTCCTGCCTATTGGGAAGATTATGGGATCATCTTTCCCTTCTGCTTGGTTGACAGCTGAGGACAACTTGGCTTTTCTGTCTTGGCCCAATGCTTGATCTTGACATACAACATCGACTGCACATCCATAAGTCTAAAGCACAGAAGCACAGACTGCAACCAGCCAACACAGACCTCCTTCAAGGTTCAGGGCCACTAGCAGGGCATCAGTTCTTCAGAGCCCTTCCCAGAGCACAAGGTGCACATGTGAACCAGCAGCCGCCAGGGCCCTGCAGGGAAGCAACCCAGGCTGAGGAGGTCCAGGAGCCTCCAGGAAGCCAGAGAGCTACAAAAGCAGATGCTTACAAACACGCAGCCAAGGACACATGTTAAGAAATTAAACTCAGTAGTTGATGGATGAGTCACCTGTCATTTTAGAGGGACGGTAATCCCTCGCCCCTTGGGAAAGAGATGACTTTCTAGAATCGTGATTATTTTTCATGTACATTAAAAAAAAAATCCAGGAAAAAAGTCTGGGCATTTATATTTTTGGAAAGTACCACAGGCAATTCTGGCACTTCCCAAGACCCAAGGACCACTAAATGGATTTGGCTTCTCTTTCATGGAATGCCTCTAATTAAACCAAGCTAACTGTTTAAATATGAGGAATCGAATCTTGACCAAGTGTGAGTACTGCTTTATCAATGGGCTCTAATTAATTATCTCATCTGGAGCACCAAGGCTATTTCCCTCCTCTTTATAGCCCAGCAGTTTTCAAAGTGCATACTCCCTCTTATCTGAGGATGACCCAAGATCTCTGAGCCCAAGATAGGTTTGTGCTGAACAGTGCTTTACAGAATGCTCTGCACATCGTATAGCGTTTGCTTATGAGAAGTTTCCATTCACTCCGGGCAATATACCAATGCTCCAAACACAAAACACAACCCAAGACTCCCTGAGGAAGCAACGTGGGTGTAGCCCCTCCATCCTCTCCAAACGAGAATGGCACGGAGTTATAAACAAACATTATTAAATTTTATTAACAAAACTTTGTACATTTTAATACATGTGGAATTTTACATCTAGGTAAAATAACAACACATTCAAAATTTACCATTTATACAAATTGTTACAGAATAACAACCAGTGGGTTAAATAAGTAAAATAAACCACACTGATTTTTAAAATTATCTACAAAAGATTTGACTTTAAAATTCCCCTGAACATATAAAAATAAATTAATTTTACTTTTCAATTAAATCTACCAATTAGAAATGTTACAAATCAAAATATCAATGTTATCTTATGAATTTTTCACAATACAAAACAGATTCACAAAACTTTATTTACAGAAATGAGGTAAGAACTGTGCAATGTTTAACCAAGAGACATATTGCAGAATTAACATGTTCTTCCAGCTAAGTACACAGTGGAGGTCTAATTACAGCTGGGTCTTTTCCACTAATAACTCACACACCGAAGAACAGTTTGGTGATTACACCCCCAGTGGTGGATTACTCTGTCACATCAAAAGTGTGGCTCCCCAAAGTGGAAGGGCTGTCACACAGATTTCACCTGTTTCAGGAACTCGTGGTGACCTTTTGTTTTAATGGTCAGTAATGGGGAGTGGTTTAAATAAATCTCTATTCTTAGCATATCCACTCCTTTTCTTGTGACTCATTAGTGGACAAATACCCAGGTAATGGTTTTGCCTGAGCTATCTACAGTGGCACAGAAAATTTTGAATCAAGGCGGAAGCATGGGAAGGCTGCAGGTGTGACGTGATGATTTCTGCTGCTTGGAGGACGGACTGTCCGAGCCTACTGTCCAGAGCCCTTGCAGCACAATGGAGGCACTTGATCAAGGGCAAACCCCACCAGCACTTTTCAGAGTGGCCCCTTTCTGAAAGAATTACTTTGCTTTGAATTGATCTGGTTCCCCCAGCAGCCTTAGAGATCACTTAACTCAAGGTTTCTTTAAAATATGAGCAGGTCTTAACACTAAGGAAAAAGCAATTCTCAAAACTACCTTTAGCAGATGCAGACATTACCATCCTAACTTGACTCACGAAAGTGGCCAAATCCCATTAGAAAGGAAATTTTAACAAAGATTGCCCAGTCCCAGATGATGAGCTGTATATTTGTAATATTGAATCAATGAAACTCCAGAAGGGATTAGACAGTTCCTTGAAATTTGACTCAGAGCAAGCATACTGCAACCCAAACAAAAGAGGGTATTTCAACTTATACAATAAAATCAAGTAGTCTGTCAATGGAACAAGTCTTTAGTTTTGCTATTCATATCTCCAATTTATAACAAAACTAGTTGTGCACCAACTATATTAAATTCTTGAGTCGATAAACATTGCATGTAAATTATGTCACTGAAAAAACTTATTAAATTTTCTTTCCATGTTCAAAAAATTGGGGTAAGGGGTAGGGGTATGGGAATTCCATTTCAGTGCAACAAAGCAACAAGAAAACTAATCAAAGCCTGCCAAGAATGTCCTTGTGCCAATTAATCCTTTGCTGTGCATTGAGTCTCTTGTTGCATTTCTTCATAGCTGTAGTAAAAGGACTGCAAAGGCAGCCAGATGAAGTGCTAGAACAGCAGGATAATTTCTAGATGTTTCTCAGGTGTCAACTTTTCTCTTGAGCTACAGGCCCAGTTTTATCACTAAGTCTCTGCAGTTAAACAAAAGAGCAGACATGTTAGCTACATCAGCTTTTGGTAATATCCTCCCAATTTCAAATGGTAACTGGGTAACTGACTGCGATAAAATGTGGTACAGAAGTTACTCTCCTTTTTTCTTGCAAGTTGGCATGGCTACTTGCAATATAGTATGTAGACATGAATTTGCTAGTAAATGCTCTAAAAACATTAGATTCAACAGTATAAAAAGACCAAAGAGGTAGGCCCATCTGAGGGACAGAAATTCTAAAGAATGAATGCACAATTCATCTTCCAAAATCAACTTGTCCACAGAAGCAGTAACATGGTACTGTAGAGAATGAATTTTTTATGGGCTAAGAAAGTCATGGGCTGTAACTCCACATTTGCTATTTGTCCTTGGGCTTAAAACTCTTTGCATTTCCTTTCATTAATCTATTTAAAAAAAGAGAGAGACGGGTTACAGCCTATTAAAGACTGAAATCACAGATGTCACTGTATCTAACAATGACACCTGGCACATAGCAGGGTACTCAGCAAACAGCACCTCCCAGCCCCATGCTCCTCTATTAGCTCATTAAACTGCTGTGATTTTCCATTAAATACATTTCATACTGTATAATTTAGGAAAAGTTTATAATTAGTGCATTTTTTAACACAAGAAAAAAAACTTAAAATGGGGTGAGGGAGGCAATAGTACCAAAAACTTCTACAGAATCACTGAAAATTGCCCATGGCAGCAAGAAGTAACGCAGTGTGTGATGACAGTAAGTTGGCAAAACAGGAGGGCAAACAAAACACTGAGTTCATGAAAAACAATCCTCTACTTTGAATAATTCTCGTTATTAAGTACAAACTAAAGTTTCTGAAGACTAAAAGCACAGTAAACAAAACTTTCAAAGTAACGGGAAAGAGCAAACAGTGCAACTCTGAACACTCATGTGCCAAGTCTCCCACCTCAGTCTCTCCCTTCTTCCTTTTCCTGATGTCCAGTCTCCATTCTACATCCCCATAGCCTCCTCTAACAGGGTTCTGCCCTGAACTGGAATTTAGGGGAAACATTTATACTCCAGTAAAGTAGACCTAATTGAAGGGGAGAATTAATAGAAAGAAACAGCCTTAATATGGGTTCTACCATATGTGTAGTATACTGTTCCTGCATCCATTTTTAATTTAACTTTCACATTGAAAGAGTAAGATGCCACCACTTATATGAGATTAATAACTTAAAATTTGTATTCCATTACAAATGTGATTGTGATTTACTTTCTCTAAAACAATAATTTGGTAGAATAATTGGATTGCTTGCCCTAAAATGTATAGACTAATCTTCTAATATACTTAATGTGTAAAAATAACTTTGGGGTAAAACAAATATTTCCAAGTTATATAGACTGGTTCTATAACTAAACAAAATTTCTCATAAAGCACGAAACTATTGACTTGATTGGACTGTCTCATATGACTTGCTAACTAAAATAGGTTGTCATCTTGAAAACTGCTGAATTATAAAACAGCCTTCAAACTTAAATGTGCAAGTTCAAACTGACATACTTAGGGGTTGTATAAATTGGCTTAGGTCCTCTGCCTTTAATATCCACCTGCTAAAAACAACTGTTTTAAGAAGAAACAATCAGGGGAATAATAAAACTAGGCTGGAAAATGATCATCCTAATTAATCGATACAGTTGTTATTGCAGTAGATGTAAGAAGGAAAACATACTTACTGCTACTTTCTGACTTCCATTATCTCCATGCATGGTGAGAAATGGGTTGGTGGTGGCTGTGTGAAGTGGGGGTGCCTGTGTACCTGCAAGAAGGTTGTTTATGGGTATTTGTGTTGGTCCAGGGATCTGCAGCTGCTGAAGTTCAGGTTGGTGGTGCTGCTGCTGCTGGTGGTGGTGTTGCATTAACTGATACAAAAAGGCTTGATGTTGTTCCTTAGGCAAAAACGTGAGAGAAAGTGAGTTTCCAATCACAGAATTCAGCAGTCAGATGAGCCTGCCTTATCTGTTTTCTTTCCTTTAATATTAGGTATTTGCTAAGAAAAAACAAGTATCTCATCTAGAAAAATATGCTGCACTAGATAATAACCACCTACTATAAAATGTCCATATCTTCAGTGAACAGCTTTTTTTTTTTTTTTTTTTTTTGAGAGGGAGTTTTGCTCTTGTTACCCAGGCTGGAGTGCAATGGCGCCATCTCGGCTCACTGCAACCTCCGCCTCCTGGGTTCAAGCAATTCTCCTGCCTCAGCCTCCCAAGTAGCTGGGACTACAGGTGTGTGCCACCATGCCCAGCTAATTTTTTTGTATTTTTAGTAGAGACGGGGTTTCACCATGTTGACCAGGATGGTCTCGATCTCTTGACCTCGTGATCCACCCGCCTCGGCCTCCCAAAGTGCTGGGATTACAGGGGTGAGCCATCACGCCCGGCCAAACAGCTTATTTTTAAAACAGGACACACAATATAGGAGACCTCTATTAGGTTATCCGTGATAAATCGAGGAGTGCAGCAGCTTAGAGAAATTAAGGTGGATGCTTGAAAGTATTATGTGTGGTCATACCCTTTCCATAGTTTCCCTTCCTGCCTGTCATTAGGGTGCTTTTTTGATGCAGTTTCACACCACCCTTTACAGCAAGCATACACTCCCTGCAGCATATATTTATAGATTTCTTAAGTGTTTACTAGGTGTCAGGCACTGCTTCTGGTGCTTGAAACACATTGAGCAGGGAAAGACAAAGAAATGAAAATGTTAGAATGTGATGACTGCTATGCATCAAGGGAAACAACTGTGTATGAGAAAGTCTGGAGGGGGTAGGGTGGAGTTGGTCAGGTTGTAATTTTAAGCAGATTAGTCAAGGGAGTTTTCATTGCAAAGTTAACATCTGGGCAAAGATCTGGAGGAGATGAGGGAATTAGCTGGGTGAATATGGGGGCGGGTACGGATTTCCATACAGTGCCAAGGGCCTCCAGAGGGGCAAGTCCAGCAGGTTCCAGTAGCGGTAAGGACCCAGGGAGAGAGGAGGGAGCCAGGAACTGAGAAGAACACAGAGCTCACAGTGAGAAGGCATGGGCACCTTGGCTTGTACTCGCAGTAAAATGAGAAGCCAGTAGGTTTTGAGCACAAGGTTTTCAGAAGTGGCACAATCTGATTTCAGGAGGCAGTCAGTGTGGCGTGTCAAGAGTTCGAATGGAGCTGCCATCAGCTGAGGTGAGGAAAAAGATGGGTGGGGCAGGATTGTACAGGAAGATCAGCTGTTCGGTTTTGGACATGTTATGCTTGAAATGTCTTTTAAGATATGCCAGTGGAGCTACTGAGTGAATGCTGGATTACAGGAGCTTGAAGCTCCAGAGAGAGGTCTGGCTAGAGATGTAAATATCAGCACAGAGATGCTATTTACAGACAGTGATGGGAGAAGACCACTGAATTCCACCTTGGGCACTCTCAAGAGGCTGAAGTGGAGGACCCAGGAAAGGATGCTAAAAATGAATGACCAACTGGGTAGGAAAACACCGAGATAATGTAGTATCCTGGAAGCTGAGGGGAGCAAGTGTTTCAAGGAGGTGGAAAAGTGATCAACTCTGTCAAATGCTGTTGCCAGGTCATGTAAGATGAAGAATGAAAACTGCCCACTGGATTTGGCACCACGCAGGTCATCTGGGGGAACCGGGGTCAAGCAAGAGTGTGAGGTGGATGCTGTGCAGGGGCTTCCAACAAATTCTCACCTACATCAAGTTTGATGCCTGCAAATGAACAAACTTCACCCCACAACACTGGCAGATGAAGGAAAAGGTACAGTTTAAACCCCTTTAGTCCTCATGGTCTCCAACCAATAATCTGTGCTGAAAATTCCTTAATGAACCATGTTATAGAAATGAGACATCTACATGTGCTATTATTAGAGTGAAATCTTGATTAACAGGAAGACCCCCAAATAAATGGAGTTTTAGTACTCAAGATGAGGCAAGAGATAAGAAAAACAAGATTCCATCTTAATGTCAGCATTTAAGAATTTATATATTCTTATATGCAGTGTGCCTTTAACACCACTATAAAATGATCCAGAATCAAAAGTATTTCCAGTATGTTTTTTACTAGAGCAAAAAAGTACATAAATATATTTAGAGGCCAGGCGCGGTGGCTCAAGCCTATAATTCCAGCACTTTGGGAGGCCGAGGTGGGCAGATCACCTGAGGTCGGGAGTTCGAGACCAGCCTGACCAACATGGAGAAACCCCATCTTTAAAAAATATATATATGTTTAGAAAGAAATTACAAAGGCTGACGTCCTATGTTAATTGAGCAATGCCTTCTCCAAGCAGCCCAAGTGCACGTAGAGTGCTAGGGAAATGGGTCTGGAGAAAGCTCCATGACTCTGGCCAGGGGCCAGGACTGCCCTCACCTGAGCCACAACCCCACTTGGGTCTTGGTCCATTCTTTCTCCCCTTCTCCAAGTTCACTATTTCCCATCTCCCTCATCTAACAATTAACCCCCTTCTCCCTCTGCTGATCAGTTTACTTCTAATTAAGAAAATGAGAAGCATTGAAAGTGGGATTGCTTCAGCCCTCAACATAAAACCCACCTCAGTTGCTCTGCCTGCCCTGCTGGTACAGTGAAACGCTGTTCTCATCTCCTCATCTGCTAGCACCTTTCTTCTCTCCTATACCAGAAGTGCCCCATCAACATACACACATGCTCTCACATTCAAAATGGTGAGTCAAGACTACCCCATGTACCTACCACATCTGTCTCCTCCTTTCCCTTTCTCTGCTTTCCAAAGTGATGTCTTGGGGTGCTCATATGCTATCTTCACTACCTCTCCTTCTCATTTTCTTTTAAACCATTTAGTGAGGTTTTTACTTTTATCACACCAAAACTATAAAAAGCCTCTATACAGCCTTTAAGAGACAGGGTCCTGGCCAGGCACGGTGGCTCACACCTGTAATGCCAGCACTTTGGGAGGCCAAGGCAGGCAATCAAGAGGTCAGGAGATTGAAATCATCCTGGCCAACATAGTGAAACCCCATCTCTACTTAAAAAAAAAAACACACAAAAATTAGCTGGGAGTGGTGGCACATGCCTGTAATCCCAGCTACTCGGGAGGCTGAGGCAGGAGAATTGCTCTGACAACAGAGCAAGACTCTGTCAAAAAAAAAAAAAGAAGGTCCCTGTCGCACAACCGGGAGTGCAGTGGCATGATTATGGCTACCTACAGCCTCAACCTCCTGGGCTCCAGTAATCCTCCCACCTCACCCTCCCAATTAACTGGAACCACAGGCATACAATGCCACACCTGGTTGGTCCCTTCTTTTTTATCTACCACAGAAGCATTTTACATAGTTGACTCCTCCCTTTTCTGGAAACATTTCTCACTGGCTCCTAAGATGCCATTCTCTTATTGTTACTCACTGGCCACTGTTTCTCAATATCCTGCGCAGGCTTACTCTCCTTTTCTAGGGTGTCCAGGACTCAGTCTTCATGCTCTAGGAGTCCACATGGAATCTTTTGGCTCTCAGCATCTGTGCAGCACTAACCCCAGATCTCCTCTAACTGCACCCTTACCTGGGACTCCAGATAACTATTATGCAACTGTCTCATCTCCATTTCACTTGTGCATCTAAAGGGATTTTCAACCTTTAGTGTGTCTATGACACCTATTTTTCTCTCCAAAAACTGGTTGGGTTCTGTTCTTCCACATCTCAGTAAAAAAAGTCACTAACCATTCAGAATTCTTTCTCTTCTATGTCCTGCAAACAAGTCTTGTTGGTTTTATCTTGAAAACATATTGGCTGGGCAAAGTGGCTCACACCTGTAATCCCAGCACTTTGGGAGGCTGAGGGCAGATCACTTGAGGTCAGGAGTTCAAGACCAGCCTGGGCAACATGGTTAAAGCCTGTCTCTACAAAAAGATACAAAATTAGCCAGGCATGGTGGCACAGGCCTACGGTTCCATCTAATCGGGAGGTTGAGGCAGGCAAATCGCTAGAATCCAGGAGAAGGAGGTTGCAGTGTGCCCAGATTGCGCCGCTGCATTCCAGCCTGGGCAACCAAGTAAAAGTCTATCTCAAAAATACACACACACGCTCACACTCACACTCCCAGGCAATTTTCAACACATGGCTCATACTATTTTAACACTTAAGTCTCCTGCCTGGGCCGCTCCCTCCCTGTTTTCTACTTTTTCCTCTGTCTTTACTCCCCCACCCCCAACAACACACACAAAGTATTCTCTATATAGCAGCAAAACTAATCCTTTAAAATGTAAATTGCTGATTCACTATTTTGTCAAAACCCTCCAATTCTTAATTCTTAAAATAATCCTGAAAAAAAAAATGGAGAATGAAATGAGATTAACAAAACTGAGATCATTATTAGCACTGGGTGAGAAAATGAGGAGTACATAGGTCTTCAGGGTGCTCTGCGCTCTACTACTTTTGGTACACTTGAAATTTTCCATAATAGATTTTTTTTTAATCGCCAGTGGCTTTCCATCATACTTAAGATGGAACCCAAATTTCTTGCCACAACCAAGAAAGGGTGTACGTGATCATCTAGGACCACCCCTTGGCTCTGACCTCTCCTACCCTCTGTGACAACCCTGCTGCTGCCCTTCTACCTCCAATGTGCTTTCTCTCCATGCTCCCTCAAGTCGCAGACACCCTCCCTGAGCTCTCACATTGGTCAATGCTCAAAAGTCACCCCTTGCAGAGGCGGGGCCATTCTATCTAAAATGGTCCTTGGCTCCCCATGCTCTTCCCCACTTATTCCATCCACTTCCTTTTTCTTCTCAGCATTTATCACAACCAAAAAGCTTGCATTGTGTCCACCTCCTGTATCAAAATGAAGCTCTGGGAAAACGCACACCACGTCACTCAGCACTGTCTTACCAGAGCCTACCTATGATAGCACCATGCCACATGCCCTGTCACTCTGAAGTTCAGGAGTGCACACAACATCACTGCAAGTATCACAGCCAGTAGGAAAAACTTTTTGGATTATACGTTCAATAGTGTTACTTCACAAAGAAATCTATACCCACCCTGAATATTGCTTAGAACACTTGCTCCTAATAAAATGTTATCAAAAGAAAGAACTTACTGGTGTGAGCTGTTGAGAATTTAACAACTGCTGAAACTGCTGTTGATGAATAAGTATTTGTCTTTGCTGGTCAGAAAGTAATCCTAGTCCTGAGGCACTGAAAAATGATTAGAATTCTTACTTTTTACTACACCTCTAATGCTTTTTTAGAAGTTTAAAAATGAAAGACAACTAACTTTTCAATTTTTTTAATAACTGAAGTGAAATTTTTAATCCAAACGCCTTTTGGAAAAAAGTATATACAAATTATTTCTGTATATATACATGTGTACAGCTAAACAAGAACTTACATTATCAAGAAATGTTTTTTCTTTTTATTATAAAACAAATAGGCCCTAACTTATTTTATGAAATAGAAATATACAAGTGTTTCTAACAAGCATATGTAACAATTTATCTTTAAATATTCAAGAATAATTTAACCCACACTAAGTAAACACATATTTGAAACAAAGAACCCAGACATACTACTGATGTGACCTTTCCTTTTCTAATGGTCCCAGTGGGAAAACTAAACACCAACGTAGAGAGCTAGAGGAAATAGCTTTCTAGTACTGACTGCAAATCCATTTTAAAGTATTTATTCCCCAAAAGTATGTTTAATAACAACATAACTTTAGTTCCCTAGTATTGAACAAACATTCAGATGCAATTTCAGTACAATGAAACCAGTGAGTCTCACTTCCTGGGAAATCAGATAAATAACTGGCCTTTATCCTATATCAAAATCTTTGATTAAAACATTAAAAATATTACATAAATTTTAAGAAACTAATATTCATGTTATCTTTAAATTTATGATACAGGGATGCAATATACAAAGAAACAAGAAAAACTAGTATTTAAAAGTAGACATCACAAATTAAGACATGTCAGCACATAATACATTTAATGCTGTTCCTATAAGTGACTTAATTTCATTTTCATCTAAATTAAGTTTCAAAAATAAATGTACTCTGTGTAAGTGTACTTAAAAGTTTTGGCGGACTTGTTTTCTTAAGGTATATTTACAAAGGAACATATTGAAAGCCCCAATCTAAGGCACAGACAACACTGGTAATGTTATACTAAAAAACCCAAAACGTAAGTTTCTTACCTGTTAGTCAGTGTAGCTGGCATTGGATGTGTTGCATTAGGTGGTACAGTTGTGTGAGTGAGAGGGGTCGGGTTCTGGGATATTGTGACAGGAGTCTGCATAACCCCATTTAAAGCTCCTACAATGCCATTAATTGCCAGTTGGTTACCTGGCAAAGCTCCAATTATTCCACCCACTGCAGACACGGCAGGAATGGTGGAAGTTACAGGCTGCATTCCACTAGCTAGTGCCCCCACTGTCACACCATTGACCTGCTGAACTCCACTCACTCCTGAGCCTTGTTGAGCCGGACTCTGCCCAGCAGGAGGTGGGGTAGAAAGGGCCGATGAGCTGCTGGTGCTTTGTCCGCTGGAGGTTAAGTCCTAGCACAAGAAAAAAGAGAAACTAAGTTTAAAGAACACAGCAAAATTGTTTAAAATAATCTTAAACCATTTAAGGTAAAATACTATTTACAAGTAAATCACAGATGAAAATAACCACATGAAAATTACCTGATTTAATACAGGAAGAGAATTATCAGGTAAAAAGCTGTTTCCTATATGAGGGCTCTTACTGCTGTTCAAGGAATCAGTAGTAGGAGCTAGAATAATAAAAGACAAAAAGAAACCTATTTACCCTATTACATTACATTATGTGTAAGATTAAAGGCTTATTTTAAAGCTTATGCTGAAGCCTGTATCAAAACCACTTAAATATCAAGTCTTGCTATTCCTAACACTGATTTAAACAGAAAAAATATATATTATTTCTATTGAATACCTCGCTGTAAATCAATAATGAAATCATTAGACATTTAAGTAAATTTTACCATTACATTATAGACTAAGGAAGTTAGTTAACTCAAGTTGATCACTTAACAGGATTCTTTATGCCCTTCAAAAACAACCTATCCTTCCTTTTCTACATCTTCATATAACTGGTGACCAATTATTACTCACTTACAATGCAAATAACATTAAAAGCCTATTTTCCTTAGATCTAAAATAAATTATTTTCACACTTACCAGTCTGTGCTGAAAATGTGTGTATTTGATGAGACGGACTAGGATTTGCTGTTATTGTTGGAAAAGGCACTGAAAGCTGTGCATTCAATAACTGAAGCCGTTCCTTTTTGGCAGTCAAGTTTTTAATCTGTTCCTCTAATCTTCGGTTTTCAACTTGAAGTTGGTGTAATGACTTCAGCATTCCTAAAACTAGTACACATTTGGATAGCTTTTAATAATGACAAGTACATAAAGTATTTTACACATTGCCAGTAACTTTAGATATAAAATAGAACAGCAGGAAATTTGTAAAGTATTTCTAAATGATAAAATTGTGTTCCTCAATTTGTATGTGGATATAAATTTCCTATCTTGTATTTCTATAAGCACAAAGGGAAACTGTTCCTGGATGTACCTTCTGGAAACTTTATTGCCACATACCAAAAAATAAACACCAGCTTCAGGTAATCTTCCATTCTCAATGAAAAGTGATGACATTTTAATTTTCATAAAAAATAAGAGCCCATTAAAAACTGGTGTGCCTACCACTATTTTACATTAAAGTAATATAGAATGGTTAAGGATGGTACCAATACCCTTAACCAAAATAATGAGCACATGTTTTTGTGTTGTTCCATTTAAAGAAAGCTCTACCATCAGATGCCTGGCAGGAGGCCCCTAATCCCAGCTTCTCAGCATGTTGCTCTGCAGGTCACCCAGCAGGGAGCGCTGTGTGTGTGTGTGTGTGTGTGTGTGTGTGTGTGTGTGCCCAGCCACCTCTCCAGTCCTGGAGAAAAGCACATCCCCTGTAAACAGGCTGGCTTTCAGTCTGGCCCCATCATCTCAGGTGCTTCAATTCCTTCCACAACTTGGACCTCCCAACTAACAACACAGAACGTTGCTATGAGGATTTTTGAAGTGTCCGTCACTGTAGCCTATGTACTAAAAAGTTGTATTTGTTTAACATGACCTCAGGGTCTTCAGAAGACACAACTCCTCTGGTACAGACACATCTGGCCATTTCCCAAGTAAGTTAGCTTTTATCCCTCCCCTCCAAGATCCCACAAAGAAACCTTAGTGGGCCCAAATGAGATGCAATAAGACTAAGCTAAACCTATCCTCCAGCTATCCTGTTTAAAGGATTAGCCCGGCATGAATTTCCTCACGATTAGCATTTTTTGTGAGGGTACCATTCATAAAATACATACCAATTTATGGCACTTAGCTAATCAACAATAAGCAAAATATTTCAATAAAACGAAATACCACAAGTTTATTCTCCAAAATGATGAAAACCATGTGTTTTTTCCTAAAAATAAAACAAAGCCACATCTCCAGCTAACCACCACCTATTTTAACTCTGTATTTTTCACCCACAGCCCTAATACTTAAAATAGTAAAGATACTGAAATATCGATATACAATACATGCCCTGTATTCCAATAATGAGCATAATATATGCTAATTATAGATTTATTTTAGTAATTACTATTATTCTTCCAAATTATAAAATAAAGAAGCCAGCTGGCCATACCTGACTGTAGGTATTTTTTAAAAATAAATTCTCCAGAGGTGAGCAAGTTTTCTTCAAACAATTAGCCTAAGAGAAGAGAGTGCTCATGTACTTTCGTAGACTGATAAGAAAAAAGTACAGTGGAGACACATGGTACCAACATGTATAATCATGGTAAGCACCGAGATAGTGCTGTCTATGAGCCGGGCAGGGTCTCACTCCATCGCCAGGCTGGAGTGCAGTGGTGCAATCTCAGCTCACTGCAAACTCTGACTCCGGTTCAAGCGATTCTCCGGCCTCAGCCTCCCGAGTAGCTGCGATTACAGGCATGTACCACGCCCCCAGCTAATTTTGTTTCTGTATTTTTAGTAGAGACAAAGTTTCACCACGTCGGCCGGGATGGTCTCGATCTCCTGACATTGTGATCTGCATGCCTCAGCCTCCCAAAGTACTGGGATTATAGGCCTGAGCTACCGCGCCTGGCCTTTTTCATGTCATTTAATCCTCACAATAAGCCTCTGACACGGGTGCACTATTACACCCACTTGTAAAAACAGGAGACTAAGGAACTTTTAAAAACATGCCCAAGATCATACTATTATTAACAGGTAAAGATGGGATTCAAATCCAAGCAGTAACACTATAGAATCTCTTCTAATAGGATGAAAACCGACTTCTGCATTCGTCTGCCTATCTGTCCATCTGCTCATCCATCTTGATTTACATACAAGAAAATGAATACTTACTGTCACTAGGAGTACCCTGTTCTAATAAAAATTGCTGTCCTTCACTCCACTGCCTCTCCAAAAGCTGTTCTATGCTGGCTGCTACTGGAGGCAGATTTTCCAAACTGCTGTTGCCTGGTTGATCATAGCGAATCTGTAAGCTGCTTACAGGAGATCTGTTGAAAACATTAATTCTCAAGTTAAAAAGAAGGGGAATGCTTTTAAAGAGTGCAGTTTCTTACCTTAAGCTGACCCCTTTTCTCCTGTATGAGTTTTATAACACCAGGCTGCCTATGCCAGAAGTATCAGGTTCCTGGATTTAGAAAACCATAATCTACCCTAAAATTGAGTAATTATCATTCTTCCTCCCAAAATTATAGAACCAAGGGAATAGCTAGCCATCATAGATAATTAAAAACCACTAGAAAATACAAACATGCCACAAACAATCTCTGAAATAGGCTGTAAAATAACTTGGTTATGGCATTACAAGACAAAAGGGGGAAAGACAAAATTAGACTTAAAAACAACTTTCCAAAAGAGAAAAGGGTTCTACCATTCTGCCTTGATATATCTGCTATCACAATAACCCTGAACAATTATAATACTGTGAAAGGTATTTGAATTAATAACCAACTAAAATCTCAAATATCACTGATAAATTTTTAACAATCTTGAAGCAGCCTTTCGTTATAAATTAAAAATTATTCCTTTTCAAGTATTTTCACAAGAAATAATAGACCAAAGCAGTTTTTCTTTTTTTTTTTTTTTCATTTCTAGAGCTAGGGTCTCACTTTATCAGCCATGCTAGAGTGCTATGGTGAGATGATGACTCACCACAGTCTTGACCTTCTGGGTCCTGAGTTCAAGTGATGCTCCTACCTCAGCCTCCTGAGCATCTGGGACCACAGGAGCTACCACACCCGTCTTTTTTTTCTTTGGGGGGCTGGGGGGAAGGAGGGTGAGCTGGAGGAGACGGAGTTTCACCATGTTTCGCAGCTTAGCCTCAAACTCCTGGGCTAAAGTGATCCTCCTGCCTAGGCCTCCCAAACTGCTGGGAATACAGGCATGAGCCACCATGCTCAGCCCCCAAAGCAATTTTTATTTCATCCATTCATATGACTATTTCTAAAATGTCTTAGATCTGTACTTCAAATGATAATCACTGAATCAAACCTTCTAAAACAAACAGTACTTTTATTAAGATGACCATATAATTTATAAAGTAATAAATTAGTAAAGAACTTTAGAATTTCCAAAGAGTTTGTATGTATCTCATATGCTCTCCACAGCAAACCAGTGAGAAGTCAAAACCTGGTATAATGGCTCCCTTTTCAAATGAGGAAACAGGATAGTTTTAGTGATTTGTCCAAAGACACACTGCTGGTGAGGTGACAAGAACTGGGCTACACACTTCAGGTCTCCTAACAACCCATTAGTGTTCTTGATACTGCTTTAATATGCTTCTCTACAAAATGTTTGTGAGATGTTAAACAAATGGGGCTTTTTATTTCACATGTAAACATATGGGCTAAATACAGTTGGCCATCCCTCTACAAATAGTACATTATGCCAGGATAATTTGGGCTGTTACATTTCAGGCTGATTTCTAAAGAGTAATATAAAGTTGGAAACACATGCTAAAAATAATTTAGTATCATTTGTTAAGTCCCATTTAATGAAAAGGAAAAACTAGCAAAATAGCACTAAGATTTTTAATAATTTCTGGGTAACCTGTATGATATTTTAAGTTTAAAAGGGAGACAGAGAAATGCTTCTTCCACTAAATACTAAGCAAATATCCATTGGCTTTCTTTGAAAAGAAAAATAAAACATAGAATTCACAGTAGTCAGACACTTTTATCTCTGTGTTTTTCCAATGCCATGTTTCCAAAGAATGGATATCTGATTTTTTGCAGAGTTCAATCAGGGGTAACAATACTGATTTTAGTTCACCCAGGAATTATATAGGAAAAAAGGTACCACTAGATGTACCATTAGAAAATTATAAATTAAACAATTACTGGTTACTGAACTAATCTCTATGATAAAGATGTTCCTTAACAGACATTCCCCAAATATATCAGCAACACTATTACTTATGATCTGTCATCACATGAAAAGTTCATTTTGAAAAAAAAAAAAAAAATTTTTTTTTAGTAGACATGGAGTCTTGCCATGTTCCCCAGGCTGGTCTTGAACTCCTGGCCTCAAACAATCCTCCCAACTTAGCCTCTCAAAGTGCTGGGACGGGGCCGGGCACGGTGGCTAACACCTGTAACCCCAGCACTTTGGGAGGCTGAGGCGGGTGGATCACGAAGTCAAGAGATTGAGACCATCCTGGTCCACATGGTGAAACCCCGTCTCTTAAAAAAAAAAAAAAAAAAGTGCTGGGATTATAGGCATAAACTACCATGCCTAACTGAAATTTTCATTTTTAATCACATTTCTCCCATACTTGGAAGAAAGATCCCAGAACTGGCTTTTCTCTTACTCTCCATTCTTACCCACTCTAACACCATGCTTGAGGGAGGGTTCCTAAATTAAAGAACATAGAGAAAACAAAGAGAAGGCACAGAAGTGAAATAAAGATAGCTATCACCAAAGTTCCATTCTCCCCTACAAACAGACACAGTATCTCATACCACATTCTCCCCATTTAAAATGGAAGGAATACACAGTTCAGTAACCCCAAATATATTAATAAATTATTTTAATAAATGGTACCTGAATACTGTCATAAAATAATTTCAAAAAACTTGTAATACGTTTGTGATGACTGATTCAAACAATTTAAGAACTAGTAGGATTTTAGTGATCTACCACAGGACTTTACTGAATTAGGAACTAGAGAGTAAGGAATTAAGTGCTGTCCCTATAGCAGAGCTAAAACTGGAACCCAAAGTTGAGAGTCCTGGGTCTACAACTTTAAGAGATCTTAAGACTATTTTAAAAATCTAAAGAATTACTCGAATCAATATACAAGTAGTAAATATAAGAGAGTTTGAAACTGACTGAAAATCTAATGGTGTTTAAATTAATATTGAAATTAATTCAGAATCATTTTTCTTGACTGTCTAGACATACTTCTTATCTGTAGAATGCTTTTATAGCTTCACAAATGTACACTCTACTGATATAAGTTTCCAAATCTCAAACATTTCCTTTGCCTATACTTTGCAGTGTAAATAGCGCTTACCGTGGTGAGAGACTTCCTCTGGGTGAGCTTCCTCTGCCAACTAGGTTGCGGCTATTGTCTCCAAGATCTTGATCTGTAGTGTAAATATTTCAGAGCTGATAAAGTGACTCTCACTAAATAAGAGGTTTTCAACTCTGGCCCTGATTTTTCCTAAAACATACTTTAAACGTTTACCACTATCTTTGCAGTTCCTATGAAAGTAGAAGATCTAGCATGTTGCTAGTTTAGAATTGCTGAACTGTGGCATGTAAGGCGTTGTCCCTACACGTTTTTGTGGGTGTAGAAGGCCATGGATTATGTTCTGTTCTTTCATTCCTTTCTATTTTACAGCACAGAAGCGTGGTTTGCATTTGCTGTACCCTCCCCTCAGCCACTTTTAATTTCTACGGTTAAAGTAATGAATCACAGCTGTGGACAGCTAATCTGTATGCTTATCACAGCAAATCCGTATGCTTTGTATTTTTTAACACTTTGCATCCCAAGACAAGCCATAAAACACATTAACACAGACCTGCACACCAAGACTAACGCTGTGGTATTAGATAGACCCTTACTCCAAGAATAAAATTACATGTAACACTAAATTTCCAAACTAACAAAAACAAGTAGGAATCCAGAATACCGAATTTAAAAGAAGAAAAAATTAACTTTTCAAAATATTCTTTAGGTAATATCAAATATTTCTGTTTGAAAACTAACTTGTATTTCCCTGGCAGTTAGTTCCTTATAAAAATCACCCTATCTGGCCTCTTTCAAGGTTGTCCTTCCCTTATTCTGAGTTAGGTAACCTCTGACCCCTAAAGGGAAAAGACAGACGGATTCATTCTTGGTGAACTGCTAAATCCATTCCCTACCCCCAAGCAGGCATGACTACTTGGACATGTCAACCAGTCCTTAAGGATGGAATGGAATGAAACAATGCAAATCCAAGTGGCTCATTAAGACAGTACAAGAGACAAATGCAACAAAACGTCAACTGGTGAACATTCACAGGATTACTAAACACTGCAGAAATTCTCTAACAGGATTTTTCAACCAAGTTTGTGTGATACAGTTTCATGAATTATGCAAATAAAGGTTTAGGCTATTCACAGAAAAGCCCAGTGTTACATTACTTTCATTGCATAGAACTAAGAACTGAACACATCAATCACAAAAGTCACAGGAGACACTGCTGCATTCCTGCCTGCTGATGGCTCTGTTGAACATTTCCATTTCAGACAGTTAAAAAAAAAAACAACAACAAGCACATTGCTATTTTGCAGCAAAGCATACTATTTACTTCCAACTGTGATTCTTTTTTTATTGTAAATAGACAATTTGTAATTATATAAATCTGGAGTACAAATTGATGTTATGATATATGAATGTAATGTGGAATTTCAAAAATCAAGCTAGTTAACATATCCATCACTTGAAACAGTTAACATTTTCCAACTGTGAATCTGGTTTTAAGTACAATCCTCTATTAACCGCATTCCTACATGCTTTCAAATAAAATGAACCAAAAGGGGAAAAAACTTTAGAGTAGGTCAGAATAGAGTTTTAGAGTTTAGTAATTTTATTTATTTATTTAATTTTTTAAGGTGGGGTTTCACCATGTTGGTCAGGCTGATCTTGAACTCCCACCTCAGGTGATTCGCCCGCCTTTGCCTCCAAAGTGCTTGGATTACAGGCGTGAGCCACTTCGCCCGGCAGAGTTTAGTAATTCTTGAAAACTTACCTGTTTGATTGTTTTCAGACTGAGCTATAAGAGCTGCCATTGATGAATTTGGATTTAATCTATTGCCATACATATGAGACGGTGCCTGACTGAGAGAAGATCCAGATAAGGTATTTGCCTAAATGGAAAATATTACAATGATAAATGAATTATATTTGAAAATATATTAAAGTTTTCCCTCCTGGTAGATCTAGTAATTATATTCTCCAGCCTAAGAATATAAGCAAAATTTGTGACCTTCTGAAAAGCAAATTTCAACTCTTTCTTGTATTATCATTCCAACATGTCAATTCTTTTCAAAGTTACATAACTACAAATTATTAGTATTATTTTTGAGATGGAGTTTCACTCTTGCCCAGGCTGGAGTGCAATGGCCCAATCTCGGCTCATTGTAACCTCTGCCCTTCGGATTCAAGTGATTCTCCTGCTTCAGTCTCTCAAGTATCTGGGATTACAGGTGCCCACCACCAGGACCAGCTGATTTTTTTGTATTTTTAGTAGAGACAGGGTTTTACCAGGTTGGCCAGGATGGTCTCCAAACTCTTGGCCTCAGGTGATCTGCCCCCCTTGGCCTCCCAAAGGGCTGGGATTACAGGCATGAGCCACAGCGTCTGGCCATAACCACAAGTTTTTTAAAAAGAAGGATTAGCACATTCAAAATTAACTATTCCTTTTTTAATTTTCAAAGTATCTAGCTGATACCAAAACCCAGTGGCACAGTAGCCATGTGGACATGCAAATAATTAATCTTATTAAACCATCCACAACATAAAAGCAGGTAGACAACAGATGTCTAACAAAATGCTTCAATCTCTTATATCACAAGCTGGCTAAGGAGGCCAAAAGTCCAACTTTTTTCTAGTATGTTAACTACACAGAGGTATTTCCATTGCTTAACTCTGTCATTAGTAAAACCTGCACACTATTTTGTTACTTCCTATTTTGATAGACTTGGAAGCCTGCTGCTTTTTCTGTTTTGTTTGGTTTTGTTTTTATTTTAAAAGAAAGCAAACAGGCATCCCAAGTATGTTTTCTATACAATGCAGGACTCAACGAATCACAGCTTTGCCCTGACCCCATATAAGGCACTGTCTTTTTGGCAGCAAGCCAGCTCTACTAACTGAAGAGCTCGTCTAAAGTTTGTAATTCATTCATGTTGTTAACCACAATTCTGAAGGCCTCTACTGGGACCCGTGCCAAACAAGCGAAAATGAACCCTTAAACAGATGAAGCTAAGGAGGCTGGCCAAAGTGTTGCGTAATCCACTGTAATAAAAATGCTTTCTTTGATGTGCACACTCTCTTCCACTTTCCAAGAATATTATGACCTTAAAATGTGATATTTTGGAGGCAAATTTCTTGTATACAAATTACTGTTACTCACAGAAGACTCTCACTGACCTGAAATAATTTTCAAACTTAACCACAATGTTAAAGTAGACTTGTTTTCCTATTTCATGAATGAAATCAAATTGAAGCTTTTATAAACTAAAATCATCACATAATTATTTTAGAACAAAACTCTTTAAAATATCGTCAAAGAACTGAAGCACTTCTATCATAAAGCAGCTGAGTAAAAGAACAAAAGACATAGGACTTTCGGACATGTATAACTACACACAGAAACTAAAACAACACAGTAGTTATAATAAGCAAAATAACACAGAGTAAGCTGTTTTTCTGGACAGACGCGCATTGTGACATTGCATCTTGGCCTTTAGCCCACTTACAAAGCATGAAATGTGCATTTGCAGTTCACAGAAACAGTTTCCAGAATGCAGAATCCTATCCTTGCTTTCCATTGTCTCAAAGTGCAAATTTTATAGTTCACACTTTAATGTGTAAATTAAATCTCTCAATTTCTGGGTTTTGTTCTTCCCCTTATTAAAAATAAGCAGACCAAGTATGTTGGTACTCTGAAGTCCCGTTTAACAATCAACTGTCCCTTTGGAAAAGGTAAATTATAACTTCAACGTGAAGATCGTGCTGTTCACTTACCATGTATTTAATAGTAGAGGGCACATAAAACACACAGTTCATAAACACAGATACAAATAAGATTTTTTCTCTCTCCAGAAGTCAATTCTTTGGGAATCTTAGGTATTCATAAAACAATATAGAATAAGAAAAATACAAACAATTCAGAAAAAACAGATGTTACCAATCCCATGTGGTAAAGCCTCAGATCCTAATACTTAAAAATAGCTTTTGCAGAGCCAATTTACTCTTACTGTAGACACAATTCTAAAAAAGATCCACTATACATTTAATGGATTAGAAGTAGAAAAATTAATTAGAAGAAGGAAGAAAAGGTCGTATCTTGAGACAGTTTGTTAGCAGCCAGAATTAACAACTGACCATAAGACAAGGGAGAGAAAAATACGACCAAGAGAGAAAGCAAAGTACAGAATGTGGGTGGGATGGTTTAAAGACCTTTAGGATAACATTCTCATTTTAGTGTATTAGTAACTTTATAAAGGGTACCTCTAGATGCCTTAGCCCTTCCAAAGCAAGGAAACACTCTCAGCCTTTTGACTCTTGTTCATGCAGTCATCTATGTTACATATCAATGTATCAGCTGGGATACCTTTTTACTTCCAATTATCAGTCTCATCAGTTGTCTTACCTAAGAATCCAAAGATCCAACTCTTACTAGAACTAGAAATCTACTTTTAGGAAAGGTTCCTTCTGCCAAGGGCTTTATATTAATATTTATCCTTATTAGCTTCAAATTTCAGAGGGATACCATTTTCTTGATCTAGTCTCCGAATTACCTTAGTTTCCCTATCATCTATTAGCCCCACTAAATATACTAAAGATCAAAATAGGAGTATGGCACAACACATCAGAAAAAAGATAAAGTATCTTTAGTATATGCCAAAGAAGGAAAGTCGCTTTTTTTTTTTTTGAGACAGCATTTCACTCTTTTTACCCAGGCTAGAGTGCAATGGCACGATCTCAGCTCACTGCAACCTCCGCCTACCGTGTTAAAGCAATTCTCCTGCCTCAGCCTCCTAAGTAGCAGGGATTACAGGCACGCGCCACCATGCCCAGCTAATTTTTTGTATTTTTAGTAGAGACAGGGTTTCACCATGTTGACCAGGAGGGTCTCGATCTCTTGACCTCGTGATCCACCCGCCTCAGCCTCCCAAAGTGCTGGTATTATAGGCGTGAGCCACCACACCTGGCCAGAAAGTCGATATTTTTTTTTTTTTTTTTTTTTTTTTTTTTAAGAGACAGGGGTTTCACCATGTTGGCCAGGCTGGTTTTGAACTCCTGACCTCAAGCAATCCATCCGCCTTGGCCTCCCAAAGTGCTGGGATTACAGAAAGTCGCTATTTTAAAAAGGTGGCCGGCAGAAGTTAATGAAATAAATGAAGGTATTATCGGAAATGACCAATTTCCCAAACTGGATAGCTGAAAGTAATCTGGTAGTTTTTCTAGTAAAGACATTTATCAAAACAAGGGACTTTCCAAAAAGAAATAAAAAGTTATTAATTTTACCAAATAGTATTTTGGTGTATAAAAAATCTACATTCCAGTTGGGCACAGTGTATCACGAGGTCAGGAGTTCAAGTCAAGCCTGACCAACATGGTGAAACACCACCTCTACTAAAGATACAAAAAATTAGCCGGGCGTGGTGGCACAAGCCTGTAATCCCAGCTATTCAGGGGGCTGAGGCAGGAGAATTGCTTCAACCCGAGAGGCAGAGGTTGCAGTGAGCCGTTTGTGCCATTGCACTCCGGCCTGGCCAACAGGACAAGAATCTGTCTCAAAAAAAATCTATTACATTCCATATTGATTTCCACTGGGAAACTCAAATCACGAATATCATTTTAAGGTTAGTAAGATGAGATACCAAAGACTACACAAATGACTGTCACTGCTTAGCCTACATTTCTGAAATGATGTTTGAAACAGTTCATACTGGTGTCCTTGATGAGTCTTTTGGAAAGACTTGGTACCTCCAAGTCAAGAAGCCCCCACATTTTTGTGGAAAGAACCCACAACTTATCAGCACTGAAGATGGGGAAGTGGAAGAGCTGGGGAAAAAAAGACAGCTTACTGAAGAGAGCACAAACATAGTGTCTGGCATGTCACTGACTCAAAAACCTTTGCTGCCATTAATAAGTGAAAGCGTTAAGATTCAGGGGAAAGGAAGGAAGTCCATGTTAACCCAAGAAGTAAGGGTTATGAGCATAAAGGGCATGAAAGCTTTTATATTTAAAAAATCTGGAATAAGAAATAAAGGAAACATTAACATATACATACTTTTCTACAACATACTATGGACACGTATTTTGTAAAGTGCATTGAAAGCAAATTTTTAATGTACCAGAAGACTGTTTCAGAAAATTTGGTTTAAAGGCTAGAAATTCTTTTTGAAAAAGCAGTGCCTATTTTATGACATTTCAATCTTAACCTGCCCAGGTAAGAGGAATGGCTATTGTGAATAGATATTCTCCTTGGATCTGGTGGTACTGTAAGAATATAAGTTAACACTAGCGGAGGCTGAGTGAAGGACATCCATGATATATTTAACTCTCTGTACTGTGTGTGTGTGTATAATTATATTAATTTATATTATATATAATTATATTTGTATTCTATATATATTTATATATAGAATTACATATATATGTATATATCCTTCGTACAGTATCTTAAAGAGGAATCCTTCCCTTTTCCCAAGACCAATAACTGATAAAAATCACTTCTACTCAATATGTTATCTAACATTTATTGTAATACTCTAGTAAAAACTTCATTAAGAGAAGTATAACTATTTTGTGAGGTGGACTGAAAGGCCAGTAGATGAAGAATAAATTAAGTAATTACTGAAGTAAATCTAAGTGACTTTTAAACAATATACGTTTCAGTGTCTGAGTTTAAGAATATCCTTAGCAAATTTAGAATAACTTAATATATTAAACATCTGCAAGTCTCCACCAAGGCAGTATTCAAACTCAAAACAAATAAAAGAAACTTAGTATTTCCTAAGTAGACTGGCATACCATATTAAAACATTAACAAGATAAAAATCTATTTCAGCTTGAAATTTCTCCTGTTTTCACCTCTTATATTTCAAATGTCTGTCTATGACCACAGAGATGTTTT